CCGAGCCCCGCGACAAACCTGGCGACGGACCATCATCACCACCGCGTGGTGCCTTCCCTCGTGGTGAACATCGGGCCCCAGAGGGGTATCAAGATTTCGCCCATCAAGGCAGATGACATGTCGGAGCTGCCCCAGAGTGAGTACGGGAGAGTCTGGGGGGTCCATCGGCGTCGCCGTGTGACGTTAGATAAGAATTGAAATCAAATTTTTATCCTTTAACCCTTTGAAGCCGAAGCTCGTATTCGTAATATTTACGAATCCAGACCGTACCGCGAAGAAAACACTTCACCTCACCATTACGAAAATCAGCTGGTTAACCCTTTGAAGCCGAAGATCGTCTGAATATTATTTACGAATCCAGACCGTACCGCGAAGAAAACACTTCACTTAACCATTAGAAGTCGAATCAGGCGGTACCACATAAGATTTAACAAAAGAACATCCCGGTCAAAGCCTTAATAGGTCTTATGTAGGATTGCTTTGTCGTGGTTGATTTATTGGAAATTTAATGGTTTTAAAAGTCAGAAAAGTGATATCGTTAGTAGCTGGTAATTAAATTGGACTTAAAATCGTGTTAAATGGAAAATTAAGCCGTGAGTTTCATTCTGTTACTTTGGTCCTGTAACCTGGAATTCGTAGAAAAATTATTTATAAGTCTCATCGAATTTATTTAAAACGTTAATCTTTTGCGCTAGAAACTCTCGATTCCTTTCATCAGCGAACTGAAATATTATAGAACCTTCCACAATTCCCCAGAACCTTATTAACTTACGACACTCGATAGCCTGTTAATTTGTGAAATTTAAAATCGGTAACGATATCTTTCAAATATGCACAGTTTCGATCTTTATTTCTAACTATCGATTTAGTATTTAGGATTACTTGAAGAAATATAGTCTGTTGTATTGTAATTCCCGCACATTTATAGGCCTAATTACATAATCTTAATGAGTAGTGAATTTCTGTAGTTAATATTAAAATATTCATATTATTATATTCCTGTATTCTTACGTAGTAAAATTTACTTAATAAGCCAGTCGACGTAATTTGTGTTGAGTGAAACTCTTTCAGTTTTCTACACTAAAAGTGTCCTATCTCTTATCCAGTGATCTGTCACACAGTTAATAATTGTTAGGCCTATAAATTTTGATATTGGATCGCTGAAGGTTTAAATCCATACACGGAGCTTTCTGAAACAGCCCCATTTTACGTTCATCGCACATCGAAATGCGAAGGAGATTTTATGTCTACGTAATTTATACTCGTAGCGTAAAACATTTAAATAAATCATTGCCCAGAGATTAGATTAATTATGATAAAGATGAATTAGCTAATTAAATCTAATTTCAGAGCGTTTTGGTGGCGAAATGTTGGTAAATGGCTTGTGGCTGTTAAATTCTTTAGGTTACTCTTTCCTTGTCGATTTGTGGTCGGTGTGATTTGGTAGTCGATCGGTAAAGAGAACCCTTGTTTCATTTGCTCGATGTCAGTCAATTTAGACCGCCTACCCGTTCGGCGTTCGCTCTTGGTCAGTGTTTCCTGGAAAAGAATCAGAGAAATTTAGGCCTGCGAGCTTCATTAATAAAGCAGATTGACCGCCCCTCACTCCGGACACCAATTTGTTAGGCTAAATAGAGATTTTACTCTCTGTGACCGTTCGTCTGACGTGCGGGATAAATCGGTTCTGTTCTTTCCATTGGACACAAAATTTTCCAAATGAAGTGTACGGAAGGTATCGGGTAGAATGTAGGACGTTTGAACTTATAGTCTTTGGTAATTTGCTTAATTCGTGAATGGTAGCCTAACTTTAGGGTTAAGATGGTAGGGACTCAGATACGAAAACATTTAAAGACATGCGTAGAGACTTTCGTGTGAGAGATATAACCGAAGTTCGTCTAATTAAGTTTTAAAAAAAAAGGCTTTTACCTCAAAGAAAACAAAAAATTCCTCAATTACAGACATCAGTTAGTCAATGCAGTGAAGGGAAACAGTTTTCTGTCTGCTCTGATAATTACACGAAACGCCTAAATATATTCTGTATTCAAAATTGCACAGTTGTTGAATAGATTTACTGTTGGATCTTAAAATGTGGAAGTTATCTTAGAAAAATAGACTGTGGATTGGACTAAACTGCCTCGCGGTAGTGCACGATTAAAGATTTCGTATCTTTTTGTGACAATGTTTTCGGATTTCGTAATAAGAATTTCTGAACTAGGCTCCTGTGTGTAATCTGCTTTAAATTTACTTGTTAAATCATAAGGTAGTATATTGTGAATTAAGTTAATATTTTAATATTTAATAAGACTTTATTGTGATTAGACGGACAAGATTTAAATAATATATATTTAAATTTACTTGTTAAATCATAAGGTAGTATATTGTGAATTAAGTTAATATTTTAATATTTAATAAGACTTTATTGTGATTAGACGGACAAGATTTAAATAATATATATTTAAATTTACTTGTTAAATCATTTTAAAAACAGTTCTAATAGGCTCTTTGCTCAAATATCTGTAAGAGAATTTTGTCAGTATAGGCTGTAAATGTTACCGGCAGGGTTGTTTTGTAAACTGAAATAAAGCGTACAAATTCCGTGTTTATAATAGGCCTACAACATGCCTAGACCTACAGACTACACTAAACACAGAACACAGGCTACGCACATAGGCATGTTACTCTGGGGGGTTTATTCAGAATTTTCTGTAGACGTAAGAGTTGTTAAGCGTCCAATTAAAATGTTGATAGTGTAACGTACTGAGGTCTCTGATTCATGAGATGATAATGTTGCGTCATATTGTGATGATTATAATTGTTTAATTTTAACCGTCTAATCACAATAAAATATTTTATTAAATATTAAAATATTATTATTACAATTAACATTTAATATTTAAAATATTTAAAATATATTAAAATGATGCTCTTTCCATCGAAATGTTCGATTTACAATTAGAGCATCATCTTTTTCACGACATGTTTCGGTTTTCAATGAACCATCTTCAGGGTACGCGGAAATATCAGTGACTTGTGCGGTCGAACTTAAGACAAGAAGAAGTTTAATTATGTTTATTCGTCATCAAACGGAGGAAACATTTTTCATTTCTAAATTTCCGATCTGCTTGTTTTTCAAAGTTAGTCTTTTGAGGTTAACTAAACACGATTTTACGAATCGTCACGTGTTTAAAAATCTAATATCTTTAGGTGAATGTTAATTCGTACGTGATACGAGACTGTAATTGAAAATACAGTTTAGCGACAAATACGATTTCACTTTGAGACGCTAGAGGAAAATTCAGTCTTAGGCATGTTCCAAATGTTTGGACGACAACAATAATTGAAATCTACGTTCTTGGATCTGTTCAAATTTATGTAATTACGGGATTATATTCTAACATTAAAAGCATTGTGAACAGTAGGCGTAAAACATCGAAGCTTTAAGCGTGAACGTTGGTTTAAACGTGAAATACAACTGCTGAAATATTTTTGTTTTTCAATTTTGTTGTCTAGTATCTTAGTTCAAACTTTAGACCATATAAAATTGAAACTATAAATCATTTTTCAATCTGTTATCACTTAAGATATGCATCTTTATTACCTGCATTCTGAGTACGTGTCAGTGATGTGATGTTTCATAAATTGAAACGTGTCTACAATTATCTGTTGACGTGCCTAAATACTTCATTACTGTGATTACAAACATTAGTTAAGTCCTACGTTATATTATTAGTTAAAAATATAAACCTTAAAATCATGTCAGTTATTTAATTAAGGATTTTTTCTGTTGTTCTCTCCTATAATTCGTATTTATTTATTTATTGTCTGTAACCAGTTTATAGGTTGATTTCGTCACCAGTGTTTGTCACTGCGTTAAATACCTAAAATTTAGTATTTAAAAATTGAAGTACGTTCTAATTATTAATTTTACGTATTGAACTATTAAAGTATTGTTAGTACTGAGTTTTAGATACTGAACTATTTAACGTAGTTGTACGAACACGTGACAGTGATTGTTAAGCACACAGTAATAGAAACGTAGGCCTATACACGCTTAAGTGATAAGGGTACGTAGAATTTGAAGTTCTGCTGTCTGTAAAGATGTCTTTGTTATCGGTTCTGACGCCGTGTAGACTCGAAGGTAGATAGCCCTGAAGATCGAGACAGTAGCTTATGTTATTTTGAAACGTTGATATATACCCACGAGTCTACAAGTCTACACGGCGTAATAAATCCAAAACAATAGCATCAATGAAGGGATATAATTTTGTTTTATTATATACATTTTTAATCATAACAGGTCTTATGTGGTACAAACAGCGTTAGTAATCGTAGGAATAGTTTCTGTTAGGCTTGTATTAATAAAAGAAAATTGTATCTACTGATCTCACATGCTTCAGTTCATAAATTGAGAATAATTTTTCGCATGATGGAAATTTACTGAACATGACCTAATTGTATATTAAGTATATATTAAATCTTGTCCGTCTAATCACAATAAATTCTTATTAAATATTAAAATATTACAATAATTAACATTTTAAAATATTTAAAATATTAAATGATGTTCTTTATCGAAATATTCGATTTTACATTAGACCATCATTTTTTTCATGTTTCACGACATGTTTCAGTTCCTAAAAGAACCATTCTCGGGTGTATATAATTATATAAAGCTTCAAAACGAATAAATAATTTCAAATATAATTTCCATACATTATGCCAGCGTACATTTTTTATCAGATTTTTACCAGATATTAAACGATGTTCTTTTTTCAGATTTTTATTCCATTTTTTAATAACACACTCGATGTTGTTCTGTATATATATACATCATGCTCAATGTGACCTAATTGGTTAAAACGCGTTATAGAAATTTAAGAGTGAATGGTAACAGATGGAAATGTGAATTGTAATTCGAATCTTAGATTGTATAAAATTCTAATTAAGATGGCACTACAGCGTTATGATGTTTTGCGGAATAAAAGATTATAGGCCTAAAAGTGTTCTTCGCTGTATGTAAATTTTAATTATTATTGAGCTATCAATCGATAGGCCTGATAGTCGTGTTCTTCCGCAAATGATGGAAGGCTGTGAGGTCACTAGGCGGGTTTCCGAAGTTCCGCAAACTGTTTAAAC